CCCTGAAATGTGTTTAGTGCCACTGACACCAGAAATGCTTTTTAGAAGAAGGCTAGGTAATCCTGAAAAAGTATGCTTCCTGCGGCCCATATCAGGCTGAGTACCTTTCTATTTTTCAGTGTCTGATTCTACTTAGGAGGATTGAATGAATCATCACTTCACCTTTTTGTCTTGGAATGTCTGATACTTACAGACCAAAAAGAAAGTTAAGTCCAACCAGGTGGTCTGATAATAGGTATAAATTAAAATGATGTAGCCCTAGCCGGCTTGGCGCAGCGGATAGAGCGTCAGCCTGTGGACTGAAGTGTCCCAGGTTCTTTCGGGCCAAGGGCACATGCCTGGGTTGTGGGCTCGATCCCCAGTAGGGGGTGTGCAGGAGGCAGCCGATCAATGATTCTCATTTTTGATGTTTCTCTCCTTCTCCCTCTCTGAAATCAATTTAAAAAGTTAAAAAAAAATAAAATGATGTAATGTTATTTTTCCTATGCTCATTAACAGCTCACACCAAGCACCCGAAAGAACACTTCGGATATTGTTTCTCCAGCCTTTAAGCTATTGAAACAACAGTACCTCCTGGGCGTGTTCTGCTCTGTTACTGGAGTGTGTTTCTGATCATCTCAACCTCAACCATGTTTTCAAACTGCTTTCAGAATATCATAAAAATTACAAACGCCCACCTTCTACATTCAGGATTATGCCACCGATTAATAAGAAACAAAAGGAGGTGTTTCGGAACTGTGCCAACATCCAGATTGCACAGGCGGTTTGTCGTTACAGGCATTGGCTTAGTGACTCCTCTTGGTGTAGGAACTCAGCTGGTATGGGACCGTCTGATCCGAGGAGAGAGTGGAATTGTTTCACTGGTTGGTGAAGAATATAAGAATATCCCTTGCCGTGTTGCTGCTTTTGTGCCAAGTTGTTGTGATGAAGGCCAGTTCAATGAAAAAAACTTTGCTTCCAAATCAGATATCAAGTCTATGTCTTCCCCCACCATTATGGCCATTGGGGCTGCAGAGTTAGCCATGAAAGACTCTGGCTGGCATCCTCAGTCAGAAGCTGATCAAGTGGCTACCGGTGTTGCAATTGGCATGGGAATGGTTCCTCTTGAAGTTGTTTCTGAAACTGCTTTGATGTTTCAGACAAAAGGTTACAATAAAGTCAGCCCATTCTTTGTCCCGAAGATTCTGGTCAACATGGCAGCAGGCCAGGTCAGCATTCGATATAAACTCAGGGGCCCCAATCATACAGTCTCTACAGCCTGTACCACGGGAGCTCATGCTGTGGGAGACTCCTTTAGATTTATAGCCCATGGTGATGCTGATGTGATGGTGGCTGGAGGTACAGATTCTTGCATTAGCCCTTTATCTCTTGCTGGGTTTGCCAGAGCCCGTGCTCTGAGCACAAACCCTTGATCCTAAGTTGGCATGTCGACCATTTCATCCAAAGAGAGATGGTTTTGTAATGGGAGAAGGTGCAGCTGTGCTGGTGCTGGAAGAACATGAACATGCTATTCAAAGAGGGGCCCGGATCTATGCAGAAATTTTGGGCTACGGACTCTCGGGTGATGCTGGTCAGATTACCGCCCCCGACTCTGAAGGAGACGGTGCCTTAAGGTAAACACTTTTTTTTTTTCTTTTCATTCAAAATATTTATTCAAATAAGACATTTTATTGGAGTGTCAAATGAGGAGAAATTTGTACTGTCTGGCCTTAGTGTATGGTATCTCTGTTGTTTCATTTTAGACTAAACAAAGTGTTTTTTGAGTTTTTTGCTTTTAACATGTTTCAAGCATTTGAAATATTTGAAAATCCTTACAAAAATTTGTAGTCTATGTGGTATTTTTTCCCCCTCAAGGGAAAAA